TTTTATAGGAATCGGAATCACACGATTCAATAAAGTGAATTTTGAGCGCCTGCCAAGACACGCGTTTTATAAGGTAGACACCAAAAAGATCTGACACAGCTCTCGATAATCGAACACGCACATAAACATAGAAATAGCATTCCATAATCATCCAAGGCTGGTTACCTGCAATGTAAATGAAATGGTCCTACTTATCTGTACCAAACGTGCAGTAATATTGCCAAAAAATATTATTCACCAAACAACCAAAGATAAGAACCTATATCTTCAAAATAACAAACCAAGAGTTCTTGGCGTATCAATCTGAGCTGTGTCTGGTAATATATAATAATAATAATAATAATAATATTTATTTCTTAATTTCTTATTATACGCATACATCATAAAAAAAACCCAATCTCAATGCGTAGTAAAAGGCATTTAATATGACATAAACAAAAATAAAAGCAATACTACTGTAAATGAATCATTCATTATAGTGTAGTCGGAAAAGATTTGTTTTGAGGTGTTTTTTGAAGGAGTCGAACGAGGAAGCATTGCGAATAGAAAGGAGAGTATTCCACAGTCGAAGGGCAGCATTAGCGAAGGCACGCTTGCCGTTCGTCACTTGGAGGAATGGTCGCGCTGGCGCAATAGTCCGATCGCCAAACCCAATATTTCGAGTGAAGCTGGAAATTGTATACAAAGTTTTTTTTATGATTGATTGTAGGAGCCTAGGGTGTCCACTTCCAGAATCTGCCGTGTAAACCTCGGTCACCCTTGAGAGTCTTGAGAAATTCAAGATGGCGCCCAAGACGGCTGCCATTTCAAATAATCCCCTATAACCCCCACAGTATTTAGTCTAGGATGATAATTTTGGTGTCAAACCATATGCTTCTGGGGTCAACGAATACACTGAAATCGTTCATTATGTTGTGGGGTAATTAGATAATAGTAAAATCCAAAATGCCAGACCATATGGCCCTTTAACTCGTGAGCGGCAGTTGAGGGCCATTATTGCACCAAACCAAACTTTATCTAGACACAAACTATATATTCTTGGATATATAACACCACATACATGCCTATCAGGGAACGAGGGCCACAGGGACCAGCCCTGGAAAAGAGGCCGAGGCACAGGCTGTTTTGTGAACATTTACAAAATCTACCCGCTAAACACGAAAATACCCCCCCCCCCCAAAAAAAAACAAAACAAAACTAGTCAATATTCAGTTTAATCCCATAGTCGTGTTTCTTGCTGCAACCTGCGACAGCACAAGCGCAAAATAATGTACATTTAAAGCCATCCCTAATGAAGCTATAAGTAAACATACTACATAGGGTGTCACCCTTGCATCACATCTGGTGAGCCAAACGAGCAAGTTGGCGGGTTGTATCAGTAAGAGCATGAGCTGGAAGAATGTCATTGATAATTTACATGTGTTTCACCGTAGTTTGACCAATGTTAACGGCTGTTCTTTCTTTGATTGGCGAGTCCATTGTAACGCGATTCTTGTCAGCTTGTTATGGACAGAGCTCTTGCAAATCAATGCCTGAAATACGCTGGAAGTTATAGGCATCTAAAACTGGAAATGTATCGTTATCATCCCCACCCAAACCATTAGTCTTGCTCCAACGAATGATGCATTTGTAGGGAATGTAAAAAGATGTCATCACCAATCTATTGCTAGGCGTTCACTGGAAGATTTTAATCCGCCGGAACTTGATCCGGAACTGTATTGCTGGGGGTGAAGGATACTAAATTCAGAACATTACATCCGGTCAACGTGCTCCGTGGGCTGTGTGGCTCCTCAGATGTGGATGCAAGAGTGACACCCATGCAGTACGCGCGCTTGTAGCTGTACTAGGGATGGCTTAGAATGTACAGTATTTTGCGCCGTGTTTTGGCAGGTTGCAGCCAGAAACACAACTAAAGGATTAAAATGAATATTACCTAACTTTGAGGGTGTTACAGGTATGTTTTTCTGATAAAATTTCGTGTTTTAAGTGTTCAAAAAATAGCTTGTGCTCCCCTTTTCAGCGTCGCCCGGCGCCCCTGATAGGCATGTATTTGGTGTTATGCTCCTATGTCCAGAAATATATAGTTTGTCACTAGATATGTTTGGTTTGCTGAAATAATCTCCCACAGAACTTATTAGTGGTCAGTGCCTTGACCTGACAATGACTTCCAAAGAAATATGCAGTGTAATTACATACACCATAATTTGATAATAAACAATACCATATAGGATTATCACTCCTGTCTATCTCCCCTAATTGTTAGACGCTATATAAGCAGGCGTTTACTGACAGCAAGTCAGACTTGGAATAGAGCTCCTCCCGATTTATGTCTATTTCATGTTCTCAATAAATGTTTTATACATTATGCTGATATTCTGTTATCTGTAAGATATAGTGTTACAATTATTTGAAATGGCGACCATCTTGGACGCCATCTTGGATTTCTCAAAACGCCCAAATGTGACGGGGGTTCACCCGGCAGATTCATTCTGAAAGAGGACACCCTCGGCTACTAAAATTAATCATATAAAAAAAATTGTATACAATTTCCAGTTTCAGCTATAGCTCTACCGGACTACAACAAGAAGGATCTCAGCTGAGGAGCGCGTCCGCCTCTGTGGATCTCCCTGGGTTAGAAGAGCTGATTGAGACATTTATAAATGAACGTGAGAATTCCGAATTCAGTGCGCCTTTGGACAGGTAACCAGTGGAGATCGTGGTGTGCTCATTTTTACGAGTTGTGCAGCAGAGTTTTGGATAGATTGGTGACGTTTAGTTAGAGAGCTAGGATAAAGATCATGCAAAAGACTATTACAGTAATAAAGACGTGAGGTGATGAAAGCGTGAACAAGTGTCGCAGTCTAAACTGTTACGAATACGACCAATTTTATACAACGCGAAAAGGGCTTACTGGCATACCTTAGTAACGTGATTAGATAAAAAAAAACAGTTCTCATCAAAATAAAAACCTAAATTACGGACCTAACTGTTCATCGAAAAATACCGACAAATAACATGCTATTACTACTGTAGTCGATATAAAACAATCTAAGGAAACTCAAATGTAAGCGTTCCGTTCATGTCTACATTAATTAAGCTTTTGGAAAAATTACAATCACCCAACCTGATTAATTCTCCTTGAAAAACCTATATGAGTTTAATAAATAATGATACTCTGGAGAGGGTATTGTTTGGGCACATATTCTTACCACACATCCTAAAAGACAGTCAAGTGAAACTAAAATCTGTTACCACTCATCCTAAAAAACCGTCTAGTTAAACTTAGATTAGAATCATTTGAAAAGTATCTGAAAGTCTTAATATCCAGATTCTACTAATACAGGCGAATCTTGTTAACATTAAAAGTCCTGCATCGATTATCTGTAGAGTTGTTACCCTTGTTATCGAAACTTTATAATCGCTCAACTCATAAGAGGTTTTTCTTTTTAATTTTGGGTGTGCATCTATAACTTCCAGAGTTACCGCCCTTGCCACCAACTCTGAGTTACAGCTCTTTATGTGCTAGTTTAATTCGATTTTTATTGTCCCTTTGGGAAATGCAGGGGACTACTGAAATAGATGACGGGTTTGTGTGTCCGTCACATGGTTTGGAACATAATAACCCAGCAGCTTCTAATTGGAGTAGAATGTTCAAACTTGGTTTAGATGTTTAATAGATGACTGTTTGGATTGAGTTCGATGATAGGCATAATCTGCTAAGGCTGATTTGCAGAAACTTGGGAACACAATAATCGTGCTTCTAATTGAGGTAGTTTGTTTATACTTGATGTTCATTAGATGAATGCACTGGCGGAGTTCGATGATGAACATCATCGTTTAGGCTAATCAGGAGATAAGCAAATTTGATTTTACTGATGACTTTAATTCTAACTGAATGATAGTGATAAAACTTGGTACATAGTGTTATTACATAAATACCATTTTCTGCTTACGTAGAGCCATAAGCAGTTTGGTTGTTCGGGACTATGTATAACGCTGATTCTAATTCAGTGGCAGTGATGAGGCTTGGTGTATAGTTTCATCACCACAATACCTTGAATACGCTGTTCAGTGCGATGGTGAACATGTTTAGGTTAGGTTAAGCAGAGATAAACAATTTGATTAAAAGGTTATGTAAAAAAAAAATAGTATTCGGAAATTCATGTAATCATCGCACCATTTCCTCATTGATTTCCTGGCAAACATCGGCAAATAATTTGCGATGTTAGAGATGGATGGTATTGGAATATAAAGAAATTATTATTTTTTTAAGAAAAAATAATGATAATAACTAAATATTTAAACACAAAACAAGTCCTCCAACACCCATACCCACCCGTCCAAAAATTACCAAACAAACAAATCCGCACTTAAAGTTTCACTTTTTATATACCTTCGTGAAGAGAAGGTAACCAAGAATCTGTGATTCTGAAAATACTAGCAAAAATTTAATTTCATTCACTATTTAAATACGCCCGTGAATAGAAGGTAACCTAGAATAAAAAATAACCACAAAACAAGATCTGAAAATACTATCAAAAACTTAATTCCATTTTAATTCAATGTCTTGAAATCAATAAGAAATAAACCAATTCTTTAAACTGGACGAAAAAAATCTCAAACCAAAAAATTTACCAATTTCTTAATGATTGAAGGAAAGCTTTAGAATAGTTTCAAATTGAACTCCGCTTTCTGAGTGATGCGACAAAATTTCCATAAGGTGTCGATTCTCTCTGCGTCTTGTCAAATTTTCTTTTAATTTCTTCAACCAATCGTCCTGGAACCAGCTGTCCAATATTACAATGTCGACACAAAGTTTTCTCATAACCACTCTAGGCAGTAATTACCACTTTAGTCCCTCTTGGCGTGTCTATCGATTCTTCTATGTTTGGCTGGTATCCACGGTCGATCAAATCCTAACCAGCATCGACCCATATCAGATTCTCTCCTAGCTTTTGATAACAGGTGCGCTTCGAACCGGCTTTGGTTGGCATCTGACTTGTCCTACCAGTCCGTATTCGAAAGAGTGAAAGTTTATGAAGGTCCATAACAGGATGAGGAGGCGTCGAGTCGATGATGGGAGTTTTAATGGGAGGTGGTCAACTGACGAGAGCTTGACAGATCAAGACATCTCAGCTCTACTACTGACCAGTATGAACTTCACTTAACTTTTCCCCAGTCTTATTAATCCGGATAAGTGCTGCAATGTGTGGCACAGAAACTTTTCATGTTTTTTCGTACTTGTTAAGAATTCGTTAGTTTTTTGTAAAGTAAAGATATTTATGGATTAATGAAAACAAAAACCCATCAGCAAGTCATAATTACCGATGAGAAAAGGAAATTCAAAGATTAATCCATGAAGACAAAGTTAACACAGTTATCAGTTATTACCTAAAATGTTTTACGAGAATGTCTTTGAGAGCTGATGTGTGCTACGATTAAGTTCAGTTAAATTGAGATTTCTAATTGTCCAGGTGGTTATTTGTATAGTAACGATTTTAAAGGGTAAGTTTCAGTTTATTAACATCATATTCTACATTTTGAAATTGGTAATAGTCAACCGCGTGCTTACATTTATTTGAATAAATATTAAACTTTAAAACATAAACACGAATTGGAATTGGAATTTAATTGTTGCATTGATCAATTGGGGTTGCCTCATATGACAAACAATGGAATGTGCCATTTAATTTAATTTAATTTTTTTTAAAAGTTATTTTATTGAAAAATTTAAGCTATCTTCTTCACTTTTCAAAATGAATGGACGGATATGGGTTATTCATTCTAAGTAATTTTAATTTTCGTTTGTAGTTTATTTATAGGATTCAGCGAGAAAATAATTTTAAATCTTGGTGACTTTTTGCTATTCCATTCCAGAAACATTAATAGTAGCTATAGCATAATAGAGGAAATGAACGTTTATTAAATCCAAGCGATATCCATTGAAAAACTGAGCAGAAGCGTTAACTAAATGTTTGTTAAAATAATGATCAAAGACGGAATACGTGATTCCATTGCTCATCTGTACATTAAATTATCTACAATAAAACTGACAACAGTCAAATAATTAACAAAAAGTCTGAAAATAGTAGATGACACGGACAAACATTTAATGGTCCTAGCTTTACCTTCCAGTTAGATTATTTCCAGCTGAATGACTAAACAAAAATATCAACCACGACTATGATAAAAAAAAAATTGTTTCAATGTCTTTCGCCTTTCACAAACATGTTTTTTCTTAGTTTCTTATTATTTCTTCTAAATTGCTTCTGGTAACATTTATCTTTTATTCATGATATTGCTACGGTGTAAGTTTACAGACCAGCTTTTAAAATGCTGTAGTCCTAACTGTCCATATCATTTATATTACATATTGACTGCGTTTACTTGTTTGTGTTTTATTTTACAAAAAAAAAAAAGAAACAAAGAAAGACATAATAAAAAGAGAGACCTGTTTGTCTAGGGGTTGGATTCGATAAAACTGAAATGTAGTATCAGGTATTGTCCAACACGATCATGCACAAATACCATAAACATCAGGATACAGCCAAGTTGCATAACGTATCACAATATATCACGAACCTTGGTGGTCTATTGTTTCAAACGATGTGTTCTTTTTGACCGAGAAGGATTTTATCTATAAGGTTTATTATTCTTCTTAATGATTATACATAAAACATCCAATATCTTCTGACACCAATGTAATGCTGGATTTAGGCATTAGTTATACCAGCTACAACTTAAAAAGCAAAGATACATAGAAATACAAATTTATATAAAACGTGCTGATAGGTAGCATACAACTTTGATACAATTTATCAGTAAATATAAATTAATTTGTGTAATTAATATATAGACACATCTGTATTGTTATTGTTACTGAAAACATTTGTATAGTTAAAGTAACTAAGTCTCTAACTCAATATCACCCAAAGTCTTCGGAATTGAAAAAACGAATTATTTGTCAATTTAAAACAACAGTGATGGTGTGATTTTACCGGGAAAAGATGGACTCCTGATATCCAATATTTAAGACAAAATAAACATTTTACCATTGGTACACAAATCATGTACCATAATGCGTGTCAGCGCCATTTGTAACAAGGGACTCGAAGAACGAGGCTAGGCAAATTCCACAAGTCATGTCAAATGGTGACCTCATATTCTTATCTTCAGAGCATGCACAATAAATACTATCGGTGTAGACTGGAATAACCAGACGCTAGAGATTGTCATTCGATTGAGACTTCTGGCGTATTTGTATTTCGTCGAACAATATTTACAATAAAAACAGAAACAATTAAATGTAAATCAGTTTATATAGATTCATATTACATTATTATATGCGTTGCGACCCATTTGTGTCAATTTCTAGGTCCAGAATATTAGCGATTTAGTTCCTTTAATGTACAGGAATATGATATGTATCCATCGGTTTAAATACACAATCATATATTTTTTTATATAATGTATCATTTAAAATGCCAAAAAATTCGGACATGTATAGCGACAAAGAAAAGAAGCACTTATAGTTCTAGATATAATGTATCAATTCAGCTAGTAATATGTTTAATAGATTGTTTAAATATAACAACCAATGCTTGTTTGAAAACAAACATTTTTATATACTTGTATACCAATTAAAATCCTAACATTATAATACAATGTATCTTTTGAAATTGAAACATTTTAATATACTACATGTAGTAATGCATCGACAAAATTTTAATATAGAAACCCTACTAATGCAGTGTATCATTCTAATAAATTATGTATCAGTAGTGTATCAAGTGCACGAACAGTAATATTCTCCATATTGATACACATTTAATAACATCTGTAACTTTTTTCTAATAAATTGAAATGCTATTGTACCATATTCACATTTAATTGATACAGTTGCTGCTATTAGTATTGACCGAGAAAAAAAATATTCACACCAATACCGCCGATATCATTTCTTCGCGTCATGTAAACCATCTTTATCTGCTGGCTACAGACGCATCCAATATATGAAGTGGGATTTTTTTACACACTTTACTACGGTCGTTACGAATAGTTTCTACGTAGTTTTATCTTGTGATTACCTCTTTTGACAAAATATCAGTTTTTTCTCTAAAATCAACACTAGTAATATGATAAGGAGATTTAGATAGAAGTCCCAAGAAATCAAATTAACGTGCTTTATAACGATCCCATGTTGTAGAAAAAAATGAGCAACCATTTTGAATTGTTGACACAGGAACGGTGGTTTTAAATAGTTCCGTTCTATACAACTATAATTTTATACAGAAAAAGTAATTACATAATTGAAAATAGATATGCAAATTTTAGAGCTTACAATTATTGTTAAAATATACACGTATTTAAAACATGTAATATAAACCCATTTCCGTTGATGTTGAGGGGTTAATTCAGTTTGTGGTTCTTCTAAATTGCATAATGCATATGTAACTAAATTGTATGTTGGAGACCCCCCCCCCCCTTCAGTTATTCTGGAGATATATACAAAAAATTCTTAAGAGTGTGTACCTTTTCCCAGAATAACCCGGAATCCAAATTTTCTCTCGGTGGGTTAAAATAGGCAGGGTGATGCTTTACTAGCTAGAACAGACTAAATGGATTAATTTTCTAAAACCGAAATAGTTTTTTTTTTTTTTTTACAATTCATTCAGATTGAATTGCAAAGATAGCCGTTGAACATCTATAGATGTCATGAGGTTTCACGTCCTTCTTTTTAGCACCAACCGAGCTAATGAAGACAGCCATGCACCATGCAGTGTGCTACTAGCGAAGTTTTTCCCGGACAGCGACTTCTCCGCCTAGTCTTCTTCGGATTCCAACTGTCAAGGTTTTCCGTTTCATCCGACCGACTAGCACGGTGGGAAATTCCGAGGAACTTTTTAGGTCAAGATCAGGATGAAACCTGGTCAATGAGCAAGGTCCATACCCACTGAGCAAACGTGGCCCGAACCTGGCATTGACCTGGAAAAGGAGGTTATGGAAAATTGGGAGCACAGTAATTCAATTTTCTCTGTCATTGGATACCAAGGCAATATATACTCTCCATGGTTAGTACTGATATTTAGTCTTGTACCGCCGAGTAGTTTTTATTTAAGATCTCCAATAATCACAGACAAACAAAACGTTTTATTACGTTTAAATTCATTTACAAAAATGTACCCCCCCCCCCCGCAAAATCCATATTTTACGCGTCGTTTCCAAAATCAACAGAAACAAAATGACAAGGTTTAATTTTATTTTACTTATAAATATCAGCTGTCAATCAAAACCGCCATCTTCATGATAATTATAGACGGACAACTCACCAGTCTCAGCAAAGCGCCAGTCTGTCAGAGATAATATATCTTCTAATCTTTCAAATTCTTACAATCTTTCTTACAATCAGACATATTAAATAATATATAAAATAATATCCTCTATTTAGACCAAGATTGTATTTCTATCATTATAAAGAAATCAGGAATCCAATTTTTCAAGGTGACAGACAGCATATGATAAAGGTCGTTATCAGATTGATGGTATTTTCGAATATTGAATTAAATCAATTCGTTGCTCAACCGTTTAAGGTTTGCAATATTATCTGGAACTGATTTACTACTTTTAAACCATGTTAATCCCACCGAGACTTCAAAAACCCACGGAGGCTAAACGTCCACCAGCAACTGAGTTGTCCTAGCTAGCCATACCACCATTTTTAATTATTTAAAAAAAAGAGAAGTGTGAAGTCTCTTCTGTGTTGCTATTATGAATCTAAATTTTAACGATGAGATGTTTTTGCATCTTGCCGACGACAAATTCTAATTAGATATTAAACACCGATAGCCACTATTAGCCTGGCAAAGCAAAATACACGGTGTTAAGTGTAAGATTCCAGAAAGACAGTTTTGTGACTTTCATTCATATTGCCTGTATTCTCCTATCAGATTTTATTAATCACAGAGGTGTGAGTAAGGTACTCAAGCTAAACGTGACATGACTTACTCTTCAGTCATCCAGTGATGTCTTTTGTAAATTGATGAAAGCAAACGCATACCAATTTGCTATTAAAGCAATATTATACTTGAGTTCATCAAATTTGTTGAGTTCCAACAGATCTATTCTAATTGTGATGTCCGTTAAGCATAGCTATTTAAAGAGCATATCAATGACCTGGAAAAATTTCTGTAATTGTAGCCAGTGGTTACTACATTCACTTTACGGCAAGTTCACGCCAAGCTGATTAAAATTAAATCAGCCATTTTCAGTCAAAGTAGCAAGTATTGACACCCCCACGTAAAACGACTTTGCCAATCATCGAAAACACCCCTAATATCCTCAGACGCCAGTGACGTCACAGTGACCGAATACATATTCGGAATATTTATTCCTTAATTAGATATATACAACTACAAATAAAACAAATTTACCTTTAGCTTCGTGCCAGACATCAAAGAAGTGCTTCATATTCACCTGGTTTTCAGTCATCGTACGGCGCGAATGAG